CCCCCCCCCCATGTTATAAACCACCACGTTGGATAAAGGGTGTTCGATTCATGAGACGTTATATCAACCCATCTGCCGGACAGGTCTGACCAAAAGATCAATACGTACATGCCGCCGGCACGCCGTCATGGGTTCATCCGAGTGAGCAGGGTCATGAGAGAAAAGCGACTAAGTGGCTAATTAAGATACATGGAAGATTGCGTGGACTAATCGTGATGAGATGCAGGGTCTAGAAACCCGGGGGTACGACACCCTTTTGCTGGGTCTGGTTAGGATTGGGCGGGGCATACATGGACGCCATCTGCCAACAGAAGATAAGAGCAGCGCGAGACAACGAAACAGGGTGGGACGTACGTTTTGAGCGCCCTGCTGCTGGGCGAGCATCTCCTTTTCCTGAGCCACGATCTTTGCCTCGTCCTCAAGGCTGAGCGCAAGTGGCAGGCCGACGAGGAGCGCACTGGTAGTGACGATCCACACGAGGTTTCCGACCACCTTGCCCGACGTCTTGACGAAGCTGGTTGCCCTGGAGAAGCGGCTGGATATGCTGTGACGTGTGGTCGGGGGGACGATGTCGACGAGGGCAGCAATGCGCTCGTAGAAGGACTCTTCACCATCGAGCTCGGAGCCTACGGAGGAGAGGGAGACGGAGGAAGAGGTGCGGGAGGAGGAGGAGGAGGCATAGGGAGAGTTAGACTCCTGCTGGTCCTTTTCTTCTACGATCTCTACCTTGACCATGGTGTGCGCTAGCGATGTGCTGGACACAGGGACAGCGCGGTGACATGTGTGACTAAATTTCGTGTGACCAGAGAGAGCACGTGCAGTGTGACTCAGAGGAGAAATGTAGCGACGGACGATATCTTTACGCAATGGAGGCGACGGTGCCGTGGGTGCCGGGCGCCAGGAAAGGGAAATATTAGCAACCGGAGGGCGGTGGTTGGCTGGCGGGGGTTAGCGGGACAAGCAGAGCCAAACAGGCCGCGTCACGCCTGTTATGAATCGGCACCGAGATTTGATCTGTCGCGAGTCTCCGCCGCAAATCGTAAGCAGGATGGACCACTGCGCCGGTGGACAGCCCCGAATCCGTCTCGACGCCCTTCTCCCCTCCTCCTCTTAAACGCTCGCCTCTCCGCTGCTGCCTAATGGACCTCCACGACATCACCCAGGGCATGCCCCTCACGGGCCCCCAAGGCAGGTCGCCCCCTCTCCCTCTCCCTTTCAGCGCCCATTCACCCCCGACAGCAACAGCCTTCAATCTCACTACGACCACCATGCAGAACCAGATTCACGAACTCGCTAAGACCCTTCCTCCTCCCCGGAAGCAAAATACAGCTTGCGATGCCTGCAGGTCAGTCCCTCTTCCCCCCGCTCCCACACAGCGCAGGTGGGTGGTTCGATGTCTCACATTATTGCATAGGTCGCGAAAAGTTAAATGCAATCAGCTACCCGGTCAGGACAAGGTCTGTACACTTCCTCTGGCCCTCCTCTTATTTACTGACCGTCGGTGAAGTGCCAGGTATTATCTTCGCCCCTGATGCTGCGATCCCGCTTACATCCGTCGTGCAACAGCACTGTTTAACCAAGAACTATCCTTGCACGTTCGTATATGCGGTCATTTCCGTCCATCGTCGTAGAGTATGACATCTCTCTCGTGCTCAGACACTACGTCCAACAAGCCACGACCGAGAAGAAGCGAAACGCTGCCGCGCTAAAGCGGCCTCGCACCCTGAGTACTTCCACTTCAAGGTAAGTTTTGTAGTGCGCCTGTGTATTTAATTTATCAATGTGTCTTCGGACCATCAGCACCACAGCGGCTTCATCCTCGTCTAGAGTGTAAGTCTTATCGTCTCGGTCTCCTATCGCTCACAGAATTTCGTCCTGCAGTAGCCCTGAACAATCCATCTCCCCTGGACACACCCCGACATCTCCACATTATCCAGCCGCCACGTCTTACAAACCATTACAAGGCTACTATTCTTCGTACAAGCCTATTACCCCGCAGACCCCCACGCGAGAACTCCTTGCTTATCTATTCTCGCCGCCCACACCAAGGTTACTGGCATCCATCGTTACGGTATGATGTACTCTGACAGTCCGTCTGATTGATCTAGCTCGATGCATGGCTACCACTCCATTCTCCCCCAAAGCATGGCTGGGTCTTACGCCGACTGGGGCGAGCTTGCGCCCCGACTGGCCGAAGAGCCCTCTCGTGTCGAGTTGCGTCATCTCATCAGGAGGTGGCACCGAGACTAACACTTGAGCGTCTCCACGCAGTATTGCAACTGACCTCGTAGATGTATACTTCCAAATTGTACACACCCGCCTCCCGTTGCTAAACCCTGCACAATTCCGCGCCCGCCTGCACAGTAGTCTCCATCAAGCGCAATCGCGCAGCCACTCTCCTGGGACTCCCCCTGCCTCGGGCGCTTCCTTCGTCTCAACCTCGCCGCACGCGCCCGAGAAACCCCTGCACCCTGCGTACGTATCTGTTTTTCACTCTCAAGCATTGTTTCTTGCCCTGCGAAATATTCTCATCGTAGTATACACAGCCTCGTAGCAACTGTCATCGCATGGGGCGCCAAGTTCTCGGAAAACCCTTTGCTCGTCAAAGACCGCGAGCACAACAACGGTCAAAGTCTTTTCGCAAAGACGCTGATCACCCGTGCGCGAGACCTCGCCGAGGACCTCAAGGTTCACCGCATTCCGAGCTCGGACCACGTCGTAATTGCGCTTCTGATAGAACCCATGCAAAGCCGTAAGTCGTTCACATGTCGCGTTTCTGTGAGACATTGACTGGCGCGCATTGGCCGTCAGAAAACATGGAAAATTCATCCGGTAAGTTGCGTCAGAGTGACCCCTCATATTGAAACCCAGTTGACTCAGTGACTCGCTCCCGAAGGATTCCACGGCTTCTGGCTGATGAGTGCGATTCGGCTACTTCTCGACCTCCAGGTGCGACCCCTATTTCTTGTCCTATCTCCTCCGGCTCCGCACGTAGACTCGAGTGTCCGCTGCGCGTCTACACCTGCGCCCGCAGCCGACCCGAGTCATGCATGTCGGGGACGGCTAAGCAACACGGAACGATGGCTGATCAAACGCCCCTGTCCCTATTCCAGATCAATCACAAATCGGTGATGTCGAACATTCAAGATCCCGAGGCTCGGGGTACGATGATCTTCGCATGGTGGATGGCTTGTCTTGCCGACGCGTATCGGAGCGTGTACTACAGGCGAAAACCGATGCTGTGAGCCGTTTATCGGGATTCTACTACCCTCCGTCGGTGGGTTGACGTGCTCGATGCGCAGGGACGACGACGATTATGATATCGACTTCTACACAGTGGGACCAGTGCCGCCTGACCACCTCGAGTCGTCGCAGGCGACGCAGCCCTCGCCGAGGGAACAGCTTGAGGTGAGGCATTTCATGCGATGTTGAGCATGCCTTCTTCCGTGCGCTGACTGCCCCTGTACTTGTGACAGTTCCTGGTAAATAGTTCTGCGCATATACGCACCACGATCGTGACTGAGTGCCTATCCTATGTTCCTCAACAGGGGTACTACCGCGCGGCACACGCGCTTGCCCGCATCTCCCGTCAGATGTCGCGGCAGCTGTGGCGTCCTGCGACTGAGTCGGATGGGATCCCTTTGAATGAACTCTTGACGTTCATGAACCTGCTGAACGACTGGCGCGAGGAGCACCTACAGCATGTTGGTGTTCCGAGTAATTTCCACTCGGAATGGGACTTCGTTAGCGCCGTTACCGCCTGTGAGTTGTTTCGTCTATTACTCTTTCGGGGCCGTGGCATTGACCATGCCCTATCGATACTAATATTATGGGTAACTTGCAGGTGCGAGCGATGCGACGTATCACATTATGTGGATCATCATTTTCAATGCGCTGGATGACTTCGGGATTAGGGAAGTAAACGATATGATGCGTTCAGGAAGCCCAGGAAACCTACTGCCAAATTCGGTGCAGATTGAGACGACCAAACGTAAGGTCATGGATGAGGCGCTGCATGGTTCAACACGTATTGCAGGCTTGGTTCGTATTTATCGTCTATGTTGGCTGTCGTGGACGCTCACTTTAACGACATAGGCGGGTGTGCTCACATCCCACGGATATTTGGTTCGTATTCGTTTCACACGATATACGCGGCCCAAGCAGCTCCCCACTGACAAATTTATGATGACAGAGATTGGATTCGGCCGTGATGCACGTCAGCATTATCCAGGCCGGCACACTTCTTGCGCGACTTGGGCGGCCTGAAGTCATGAACTGCATCAATGGGCTTGTCCAATACAGCTATGCATACGAAGAATGCGCGGAGCAGGCGGCGGACATCAAACGCCTGTACATGCACGCAATCACCACCGGGGAGTCGGACCTCAATCATATGGCGTCGGTCGACCCCCGAGTGGGCGAGAGCACGAGCGGAAACGCGATGAATGTGGACCA